TTTTTTTTGTTTTTTGTTTACCTGTTTTGATCATTAATATTTTAATATTTAAGTGTGTGTTGGTTACTTTTTGTTGTTGTTGTCGCTGATATTTCTGAATAGGCACCAAAAAAGAAAACCTTGTTCTACGTGTATTGCGCTTATGTTTCGTTAAACAAGTTAATATGACTCCTAAAGACGGCTCACTACGTTTAATGGTTTGATTATTTGATACCCACGGAAACGGTTACCTGTGCGATTTATTTAGTTCAGTGATATGATGATGTATGATTTAATATATAGTCTAAAATTGAGTCTAAAATTAATAAATTAATGTTTTAAAATGTGTGTTTAAAATGTTGTAATACAAATAAATGCAGGAATTATAATTAAGACAATTATAATTTTAAAAGTAAAAGTTTCAAAGATATTAGTATATTGTTTGAAAACCTTAAAGTCATGAAAAACTTCTTATTTCACTCCACCAAAACAGCTTTAAAACGCTGTTGCCTTATGTTTTAACTTAGCCATGGTAATTTTCAGTAAAATTTTTCTTATTTCGGCAGAACAAATGTATTGGACTTAAACCAATGGAAAAGTGTCTATTTAAAGAGATCAAGATGGTCCTCGGTTTGGGTTTAAGAACACGTGCGTCTTTCTAGTACTCAGATGTCATATAAGAGTGCTAAGCAAACATCAGATGAAGTGAAGTCTAAAAGCAGGTCACAATTAATGTTAGGAGATATTCAGTGTACAAAAAAAAAGGTCCAGATTTTGTTAGCGTACGTATTTCCTTTGGCGTCTATACATGTAAGTGGGTGTGGACGCACGCACAACCCTGATACATGTAACACCAGTTCTGCGTTTTACTACCATTATTGGAGCTTTATTTTGATTGACGCGTTCCTTTGTTATTTATAATATCGTGTCAATTGGAAACATTTAGCCTAGCTTAGAAATCTATTTATTTGTCGTTTTCTGTCCTTCTTTGAAAGGCTTGGAGAATGATAGGCTGTCTCTTGTTTTCAGTACAGTTCTAACTGAATGAAAAATAACTATTTGATATTTCATTTGTATAGTTTTCTAATTAAATTCATCTTTAATTTCGCAGTTTTAGAGATAAACACTTAATGTGATATACGTAACGAATGATAAATATGTACGTCTGCATAAACTTGGTTCTTCCACTTTCTATCATCATCGTTCCTATGGTAACGTCACACAGCGCCATCTATTAGAAAGTATTCTGCTCTGATAACGTGTGTTTTACCACCCTCCCACGGCTGTGTAGCAAATTTAAGGAGGGATGATAAATAAAACGGTAAATGCATATCAACCAACAATTTAATGTTTCTTTTTAAATAAAGAACTTTGACTACCTGGGGTTTTTATTGAATTGAGCCATGTAAATGTAAAACAAGCATTTGACAGTGTAAACAATGTCGCTTCAAATCTGTCCTTGATGGCTTATTTAATAACTCGGCACAGGTGAGTACGCGTACTTTCTGTGTGTACTTTAGGGGTGGATGGTGCGCTTAGTGATTATGAGGTCACCTGTCGCAGTATTTAGACGCAGGACTTCTTCAGGTCGATAAAGACTTAGACGCACCGTATGGCGTCAATTCTGTAGCAGACGCTCGTTTGTGGGATTCATCCGCACTGGAAAACTGATGACGTCGAATGTCGTGTTTAACTGTGTGATCTGCCCTGTGATTTAGTCCCTGTGAGTGTGACGCCTTTTTGCGTGAAGCAATCATCGTACAATACCAATACCAATACTGTACAAGACTGGGTCCTTATAGGCCTGGGCTATATTGCCAAAATATTTAGGGCAATGCATTATAATTAATATAATTTACACACTTTAAAATTATTAAAACATTTTTTGAAGAATTTAGTAGTAGTAATTATTATTATTATTATTATTATTATTATTATTATTATTATTATTATTATTATCATGCAGTGCAGATAAATTAATCATGAGAAAAAGCCCAAAGTCTCGCAAATTAGCGTTAAATAAATCGAGATACAGCGAGATTTGATGAAGGGTGCGGTCAGACCTGATATAGCAATACTGCCTGCCGGTGTGACAGGAATGGTAGTCCTTGGAATGGAAGTCCGGGGTACCAAATGATTACTACAGGTTAGGGTTAGTCGGAGTATTGGGGTTAAGATACGAATGTCACAAATTAATGAGGAACGAACTACGGTTTCTAGCGGACTACCATTCCTGTCACACCAGTAAATTTCCTAAATCGTGTGGTCATTTCTGAATCAATCACACTTGACGCATGAGACTCCCCCGTGAATACACCCACACAATAACACAACACTACAAGTATTTTATCTTTAACAGCTTAATCGACAGTCAAAAATCAAACTGTTATCGGAACATTCATGTTGATCACGATTTGAAAAACCACGTAATGCTTAATAATCAACATTTGATAAGGAGATTCCATTCTTATTCTTTACCGAATACTCACGTTACTTGGATATGATAGACTTGTTACTATATAACACACACACACACGCTGATTGGTTGATACGTGTTGCTAAGCGACCAGCCACACACAGTCATTTATCTACTTTTTATCAGGCGAAGGAGGACGAATACTAATGCAAATGTACGGGTGGGCGGGGGCGGAAGCAGAAACGACTTGGAACCAATATTAGTTTCAGCAAAGGAGATAGAGGGCGCACCTATTGACTTCATACATACACATTCCTATGGGGAAATTCCTATGGTTTTATTTGGATTCCAGCATGGACACCTTTTTTCTTCTGGATATTAAAGTTCGTCTGGTTAAATGACACAATAACACCCTTTCTAGTTATTTTTATTTTTTTGAAAACTTGAATGCATACAAATGTGCATCAAAGATCACTGGCAATCAACAGACTGTTTACTTACGGCGGAATGATATCTTTTACGCGGGCCGACACATTATCGAGATTGTTTATCATGTATTGACAGTCTGTTTTTTATTCAAAGGTAAACGAAGACAGATACAGTCAGACGAAGACGAGCAATGTTGTAAGCCGTCTCCGGACAAAAATTGGCAGCAAGTTTGGTATTGATTGGTCCAAAACGACATGGAGCGACCTCGAGAAACCTTTATACTCAGCCATTGCTGCTCGCCTGTATCTCGAAATATCTCGCGGGAACACAGAAATTCCGCGAAGCATCTTACAACAAGAAACCTTCCTTCAGAAATATTACAACGTCTCTGGAATCGAATATGTTGGTCTAAATAACACTTTGAGGAACCTAGATCGCAGTGAGTATTCACATGTCGTTTAAGATAATATTACGTCTTATAGTTCCTTAATTTATTAATAAAAAAATAAAATAAAGTACAGATAAATTGAAAGACACTGGTATGACACATGTTGCAATAGTTTTTATGCGTTCAAATGAAATTTAGGTTTACACAAAAATATGCAAGCTGTATCTTTTAGTTGAATGCTTTAGTTGAATGTTTGTCGGTATGTATACAACTACACTATGAAAATACTTAAATCTTCGGTTTAAATAATTTCCGTTTTGAGTGCATATTTAAATCTAACCTCAAACTTGTTTAGCGGTATTTTCTATTGTTTTTTTTTTCGCCGCCAGGTTGCGCCTCAATTGGTATCGACCTGGTGTTTGTCTTGGACGGGAGCGGAAGTGTCACTGCGCCAAATTTCATCAAAATGAAGGAATTCGTACAGCAGGTTGTGTATGCGTTTGACATAGGAGAAAACAAGACACGTGTGGGTGTTATGCAGTTTTCCAATCTCTTTTGGAAAGAGTTCCTTCTCAAGACAGATTTCAATAAAGACAGGGTAAGTAAAAAATAAATGCACATATGTAACAGGTGTTTGTCTTTTCAAAAACAAAAACTTGTGTTTCTCACACGTATATATTTGAATTACATGCAATATAACTGCTTTATCTGCTTTGTTTCGATTCCACCGTCATTTTACTGTTTCACTTTTGTATATCGCATTTAAAGTAACACTACAACTGAAGTGCATACATCTAATTACAAAAATGACTGGCAAGCATAATGTCTGAAAATCTTGTAACATCGCATGAGTAGAGACCAAAAGAAAATAGCGCTACTACCCATAAAGATTACAATTTTGGAAAACTACTGAGAGTAGTTACCATTTGAGGACCGAAATTTTGACAGCAATTCTTTTTTATATCTACGCTTGCCATATTGGCATAATCAGACCCATAATGTTTTGATATTTCTGATAGATTCTCAACAAAATCGGCGATATACAATACCGGAAAGGGGGGACGTATACAGATGAGGCTCTGGATATCATGAGAACGGACATGTTTTCTGAAAACAATGGCGCCCGACCTGAAGACGACGGGAGACCCAGAATAGGTATAACCGTACAAAATTGTGTGGTTGGATAACAGTTAAATAAAAGTTAACCTGAAATCGTTCTCTCAGTCAGACAAGAGATCCATTTGATGTGTGGGGACGTCCCTGTCTTGCTGGAACCACTGTCCATCTTGATCTATCCCTCTGAATCGTCCCAGTGATGACCAAAACTTTCCCAGCACTGCCACGTAACAATTTTAGGAGAGACTGAGAGCAGAAGTGTGATACCCCCACCCCCCACCACTAGATTTTATCTGTGAGTGTATCTCAAAGACAATTTGTACCAAAACAACCCTCAAATGATTGAATTTGTTTGAGAAATTGCCAATTTTTTGTGACGTATGCAAGTGTGCATCCAGTGCCTCAGAAGCCCTTTTGAACATATTTTGAAAAGAAAATAAACTTTATGCAAAGCTTTCAAGATAACTGAAAATTCGGGGAATGATCATGCAAATATTGTCCAACAGATTTCTTTAGATTTGATACACCTCTGTAGAATTTAATGATTTTCTCTTTTTTTTTTTTTTTTTTTTTTTTTTTTGGGGGGGGGGAGGGGGTGTATTTTGTATTCAGGCAAAAATCCCATCAATTTAAAACATCCACATGGTTTTTCGTCTTATTTCCAGGAATTGTTGTAACTGATGGCAAGTCACGTGATTCAGGAAAGACAGCGGCCGCTGCAAGAAGGGCCATAGATGCCGGAATTGTCCTGTTTGCCGTTGGCGTCGGAGCTGGTGTTGACATACCCGAACTAAACAGTATCGGATCAACGCCTGTCTGCACCCATGTGTTTCCTTTGACCGACTTCGAAGAGATGGCGCCATTTGTTAAAGAGATAGAAACCAAATCTTGTCAAGGTATGTATGAATGTATAAAGAAGAATGTAAAAAGATTTCCCCCCTCAGGTTTAATGCTTAAGAGGCAATACAATGAGGTTGTATAATATTAATTAGTATAGTATAGTAAATAATATTTGAGTCAATGACCCCATTTCCAGAGATTAGATCGATCTACTTTAGATCGACCTAACTCCCTGGGGGTTCACGCTAAATAGCTGTCAGCCGGGCGGACACGAAAGTTAATTACCCCCTTACAGCTTGTAGTAGGCGGGACGGACATTTAAGCAGGATTATCTGACAGTAATCTAGTGAGACTCCCTGCAGGGATAGATCGATCTAAAAGCTCTGGGAATACAGCCAATGAGATACGTGTATGAAATTGGGTATTAATTTTTGCCCCCTTCACAAATATTCTACATCATATTTGAGTACTAAGAGAAAACAGTGTGCTACTCGTGACTCTCAGAAAAGTAAGTTTACACCTATAAAACCCATTGTTTACAACTGAAAACATCCCAATTTATATATCCTGAAAGAAAATCACCACTGTCACTGCCGTTTGCGAGTGTACATGTATATAACGGTATTTTATATATTTTTACGTGGCAGGGTATTTATCACACCTTATTTCATATTATTTCTCTTGAGAAAAAATGCCCCTGTTTACCCCCCAATTATTTTTTCAGAGCCCGCCCCCGTCAAGACAGGCACCGTTGTGACCGGCGTACTTCTGGCCAATCAGAAGCAGTTTTTCTCCCTCCAGGCTAACAGGTCTTCCGGCTTTACGGTCAAGGTAAAACTGAAAGAAATTGAAGAAAACGCAATTCAACAATTTTGTACAAGACTGCACTGTACTAGCGAATCCTGTGGTCATAGAGCTTAAGAAGGCAGTATTCCCGTATAATCTTAAAAGAGCATGCACTGTGCCTTCAGCACGGGTAACAATTCTGTTATGTGGGATATATTTTCACTACTATTTTGTATTTTTTTAACCATTTATCATGTTAGACACGGTATCTGTAATAAAAAGCACTATTTCTTACAATTTACAGCTGTGAGGTGATCATTTGTAAGTAAAAGTACATGGAAATGGGGGTGGGACAACCTTTTTGACCAATGTTGTATATGATAGTATTTCTGTTACTGTGCAAGCGCACATTTCTCTCTTGTTCACTTGTCCATGAGTGTTCTGAAGAATTTGATAAAAATGTAATATGTATAATTCTACTGGAATATTATGATACTACTGTTACTGTACATGTTAATTTTCCCCATGGTCCACGTCATCCAGGTCTCCATGAGTGTCGGCACGACCAGTCTGTATGCCTCCACCAAGGTGAAGAACCCCAGTCCAGCCTCGTTTGAACACAAAGTTACAGCATCAACCACCCAAACGGTACAGTTTTTCTAGCCTGTTTCTTAATAGCTTTCATTATTTTAGTAACAAAATTAGGGTAAATTTCAGAGCGCCTTATGATGAAGTTAATATTGAGGGTTATAAGTTAAGACTTCACCAAAAAATCTGTAAAATTCTTTTTAATTTCAAGCTTACCAAGTACTTAATCCTGTTTTAACCTGTTTTTTATTTATAGATATATTGCATACATAATGGCATTTTACAGACGGGAAACATTATAATATCCACCAATCAGTGACTGCAGATAGCTGCAGTACCCTTGTTCTAAACGTACAAAAAACAAAAAAAAAAAAAATATATATATATATATATATATATATATATATATATATATATATATATATATATATATATATATATATATATATATATAAGTGTAAATGAATTTGGTTGTCGCGATATAAAATACTTAAAGACAAAATAAATATTGTTATTAACATTCTGCTGGCGCTGCGCTGATGGACGACGTTGATGTGTTGGGCAGATTTCATACACGGCATTGATTATCGGCAAGTTTTTCAATTTTCTTTTTAAAAAAATTGCTCACGTTCGGTCTTTTTACCTTCTCAGGCCCAGCTGTATCTTTCACCCTCCCAGCTGAGCGTGGGATTGTCAGCCAGCGGCACGGCGCAGTCACGTGTGGTCCGGCAGGCTTCGCCTGACAACGAGCAGGTCCAGGTGTATCTGACCCTGGAGGCCGGAAGTGGAAGCCAGAACGAGTTCAAGATGGAGTCAGGCCACGGTGACGTCAGATCGAGTGCCACCAACGTCTCCAGCATGGCCGGCTGTCTCGTCTTTTCACTTTTGGCATTTCTTCTTAGCTCTTTTTTGAAGGACTTGTAAAGTTTTAGAATTTCTCAGGAATTCCTTTTTGTACTTTTGATTGGTGTGACATAAAATAGACGTTTGTGATGCAAGTTGTTGACCATTGAATACAATATGAACCAAAGCTTTAGATGAAATAACAGATATGATACCTGAGCTTTTTACCAATAGTCCTTTCAAATGAAACGATACGTTGCCATTATAGCAATTTTGTAATTTCAGTTGTGCTTGTTTTGTTATGACGAGGCCCTGTGCCTGCATTATAGATACAGTGGCGTGTTACAAGTCACTCTAATAGAATAAATCATTTATTTGATTCCTGTTTGACAAATCGCTAATCCTCTTATAGATCGTTGATGGAGCGGAATTATAAAACAGACCCTAACTCTACAAGTTATAGTCCACGGGACAGTTTCACTTTAAGCTTTAAGAACCTATCATTATACATCTTATTCTTCTAAAGGATGATAACGTAATACTTAAATAAGACTTTGTAATATTGTTGAATGAATGTTATTAGAAAGTCCAACAGAATTCTTTTCTGGTAACTAATTTAGAGTTCATAAAGCTCAAAGTCGTACAAAAGGAAAATCTGATAAAATGGTCGTCATATCAGACAGTAAGTTGTGCACTCTTTGTGTGCACGCATGGCTGTCACAGTCAGATTCTAAAACAGAATTTTCTGATCTCAAATTCGTTTGTTAGATATATATTTTTTTCCTCCGCGTAGGGGAAAGAAGTGGTCAAAAACATTATTGCTGTAGGTGCGATTGTGCTAGTTGCGCTTCAGTTGCGCCGACCACCTGAAGGTCGCGTGCCCTCATTGTGATAGAGAAGCGCATTGCGTCGTGTGCCAGTACTGTATCTTATGACATGATCCTGCTGTATACCGCCAACACAGATGTCTAGACACGGAGGATATTCAACGATCAGATCTTCTAGAAGAGATAAGATCCATATATACAACAACGGTCGGTTATTATATAATTAAAAGTACTAAGCCAGGAGGCACAGACTTTGTTTATTTTTCGCTTTAACAGGAATACGGGATGCAAAATGATAATACAATAACTTTCACCCTGGTGCTTTACAGCTGACCCCCCCCCCCCCCTTCAACCCACCTCCCCCTCCAACCCACCTCCCCGGCCGCCAGGGTTTTCGTCATCCTTATGTCACATCGCTGCAAGCAACCAGAGTATTATTATTATTATTAAACCAACAACCTTGGCAAAACAGCTCCGCAAGTGGGAGGAGACATCTTATTGAAATACACAAAAAATAAACGATGCTAAGACTAGCACATTAACAAAATATATTATGTTTATTGTGAATGAATAAAAACTAAAAAAGGAAAAAATGTCCACCAACTCCTTGGTTATGTGAACCCGCCAGGGAATATATTTATCTTCTCAAAGCACCGGAGTTCATATGAGCTGAATACAAGTGGTTAAATATTCTTATTTTCACAATTTCTTGTGATTCTTTTTTTTTTTTTCTTTTTTCGTTGATATTGTTCTTCTCGCTATACAGACTAAGTCTTAAATTGAGACACAGAGCAGTGTGTCTGTCACCAAGAGGGGGGCATGCTTTCCTTAAAAGACACACTGGTTTACAATTTTTAAAAATGAACTTTTAAAAGATCCTAAGCTTTCAAACATGGCGACAGACAGGCTGGAGATAGCTGCACGCGGTGACGTCGGCGCCACGCGGTCTGTCACCGGGCACCGTCACAGCGTAGAACTGGTTCTCTTCACACCGTGTTACACCACAGCTGACTTCAGCTGAAATTTGAGGTGCCACACGGCGACAAGCAGTCTGCCAAAGCCGGTGCACGGGAAACTTCTCCCCTCTCCGCGCCAAGCAGTCTGTGTAAGTGCCCCTGTCAATGGGAATGACTCAGCCCCTTGTCAAAGCCGATTTCAATACCAACCTTCTTTTCATCGTCAAAAAATAAGCAGCGGTCATGGTGTGCGATTCCACTGATCAACAGGTCGTATCGATTTCTCCAGGTTGTTTTAATCGGGGCTTCAACGACGGAAGTCAATGAAAAGTCCCTGAAAAGCTGCACACCTGGGCCAAAGAGCCAATTGTCTCCGGCAACACGGGATTATTTCAGAGGCAGCGCGGCGAATAATGACGGAGAAAACCGATCGGGCGCTAATCTTTGATGTGCGCTAAGCGGTGGGATTTCCTCATTCTGACTATTACTGGCTAATGGGTTGTAGCAGCGCTATCATTAGACGCAATGGGCCGTGGTAGAGGAGGGAAGACCGGGGTGAACACTACCACCACGGGAACAAGTGCTCCAGACTTCTACAACGTGTTTACCGCTGTCTATTACAAATATACTGTATACCCCAGTAGAGTGTGTGGGGACAAATAGAAAGAGAGCATGTCTTTCAATATTTTGAAACGATTAATATATATATATATATATATATATATATATATATATATATATATATATATATATATATATATATATAGAATAATAATAGCAATAAAAATGGACTGAAAATAGTATTTGCTCGTTCTTTGATCATATTTTGAAGATGTATAGTGAGGGTATATGTGAAGTACATATGCTTACAGTGTATATCTCAAGAATTAAAGAGGATCGGAAAGACTTCTCTACGGCCCGCGGCTTCAATATCTTGGTCTTACATGTAAGACCACTTGACCCTTTCAAACTTTGCAAACAGTTTAACAGTTCATTTCAACAACTTGTGGGAACTATCTCAAAAATATGTGTAAATATTTGATGATGGAATTAATGAATGAAAAAAAAAAATAAACAAATAAATAAGTATAAAATGGCCAATGAATGAATATATATAAATAAATAAAAGAACAAATAAATGAATAAACAAACAAACAGAAAAAAAACTAATAAATAAATAAATATAGCTGGAATCTTGTGAAAATTATTACCAGTTTATCTTGTGTTCAATATATCCTTTACAATTCTTCATTTACATTGATTTTCATTCATTGATATTGAACTTGCTCGTTAAAATACTTTTTCTCTCAAACCCATTTTACCTAAATATTAAAAAATAATTTTTAATCACAATTACGAATTTTAGAGGTATGCAAATGAAGATAAACATTTGTTGCCTTCATTTGAGTTTATTATAATAACATAATTTATAATAGATAAAGTGCAGAAAATGTTCTAAATTACATGTGTTCAAACTTGCGGCGATGAAAAACTTTAATGTATTTGTTTCCAGAAATTTAGCATGACAGAATGTGGGATACTTGGTTACTGTTGCCTCAAATTTCAAGATATTTAATCTGTCTTAAAATATTTCTGTATCGGTTATCAAGACACAGATCAAAGAAAAGGAAGCAAAGATTGGTTTTTGTTGTGGAATTTTTTTTATTTCTGTTAGAAAAAGTAAATGTACACATGCTAATATCTAAAAAAAGGAACATCAAAAACTGGGAGGAAATTAACAGTTTAGAAAAGGATATAAACCAAAAATGTTGAGGACCTGTTTTGTAAGAGCTTAAAAGGAACAATTAAAATAAAATGCGCAAATATAAACTGCTAAAAAAAGACCTAGGGCTTGAAAAATACCTAGAAATAAATTCCACAAATTAACAGAAAAATAATATAAAACAATATTAAGATTAAGGGATCAACATTTGGCTATTGAAAAAGACAGGCAATCGAAAGCGTGCAAACACTGCCATAATGAAATTGAAGATGAAAACCACTTTTCATCTGACTGTCAGAAATATGTATAAAGGAGCGAGAAAACGTGCTGAATTCTCTTTCAAAAACAGAAAGAGAAAATTATAATTTGGCAGACATAAACTATATATCTCACTTATCCCACAGCGTGCTAAATCTCTAAGAGCTAGTGTCTCGATTTCTTTAGAATTAGCAAATAGCGCCCACCACACTTCTTAACTTGTATATACAAATAGCCAAGTGTCTTTATTATAATTTTTTATTCATATATTACTTTTTCCCTTTTCTATACTATGTTAACAAGCAGTAAAATTAGCATAGACAGCCAACGGTTTTAACGTGTAAATTACAAGCTAAAATAAATTATAATTATTTCTTGTGAGGAAGCATTACCAAATATAGCTTTGTTTTCGATTAACATGAATCTTAGAAAGTGGAATTTTTCACAAAAATACTGTAATTATTTATGAGAAAGTCCTTTGAAGCCTCTTCAATAAATTAATTTCGAAATGATAAAAACATACTCTTTAAAAGAAATAAAAAGACATCAATAAAACGCAATAATGGTTGGAAACCTATTTATTCGACAGAGCGACTCAAATCATTGTTTTGAATTTTTCATTATCTTTAATTACGGTCGACATTTCTTCCGCGAGATTAACACCATTCAATTCCACGTAAAAAAATTCTTTCCGCCAAAGCGCGCGCCTTGGTTCCCCTGCCTGCTCCCGCTGGTGCTACCTCGCCTCGGGCGAACAGAACATCCCAGGTGCCACTGCATTCATCTCTCAGCGTTCTGCACTAACTTAGCTCCCATTCACAAGACTGACACTCGGATTAATGAACGCCATCGTCTATCTCCCCCGTCCCGGATACTTTTGTATCCCTATAATTGAATTCAAACATCAAAAAATTCACTGGAAAGCTATAGAGTGACGGGGGAAAGAGAAATGCGATCCCCGAGATGTATTTCTCTGTGCACCGAGCGCCCTGACAGGACAAATTGCCTGAATTTTTGTTTGTGTACCTCCTCGCGGATCCGTTACTTTGCCGTGTTGTCTTGAATTGCCTCGTGATTAATGGTCATGTTTTCGTTCAGCATATTTCAGTGAAGGACAGGGAGAGATAGGAAACGTAGCAAAATTAATGACGGAGGATCTCACTTGGCCGAGCTTCATAGAGCGAGCCTTAATCATTGGAACATACTCCGAGCTCGTTTTATTCACTATTTTATTATCAAATCCCTCGTGCTTAGGTGAATCTTTAAGAACTCGCGACACATTGACGGCATTAAAACCAACAACCGCACAAAGCAGTTTTATGTTCATGGCCATTAAGAAGAATAGCAGCGTCTCTGCTTATTGCTCACTGCAAACCCTCCCCGCCCGCCCTCTTTTGTTGCGCGTTCCGCTTTACTGCTCACTGCTGTCTGCGGATGAATACGGGCAGGGTGAAGAGGGGGATAAGGGGATTGTTATTGAGCGCGAGAGCGGCTCAGCTCGGAGATAATAGAATAAAACACTGTACATAATACAGCCCTGAATGGATTAGTTTTGGGGAAAGTTTGAAGTGCCTTGTCTTGAACGTTAAAGATTTTAGACAAATTAATCCGCGTGACGCTAACGAAGTGAAAAAATATTTTTTGTTAAATTTCGGTGAAAGCCCTTCAGTTCGCATAAGTGCACGTTCTTCACTGTTCAGTTCACTTTGGAGATGTTTTGATGGGTTAATTTTAAAGTTACAAATATCCATATAAACACTTCTGGTAGGAATACTTTTTAATCTGATAAGAAAACATTTGTATTAATAAAGATGTTCTGAGTTTTAAGATATTTCTGCCGAATAACTATATATACATGTATATTATTTCAATGTCAGTTGAATTTGATAATTTATAAACATAATTTTTATAGATAAAATGACCAGTAAATAAATAAATAAATAAATAAATAAATAAATAAATAAATAAATAGATAAATAAATAAATAAATAAATTTGAAGTTTGTCCAAATTACATAGATTATGAGGATCTTCGTATTTGACCTTAGGGTGAAGGTGTTGACCACAAATCTAGTGCTCGGGCAACAAGAACTTAGGGTCTTTAAATTAAATAAAGTCCTGATTAAGCAAAGAATCCAAGTACGAAAATCAAAAAACACTGTTCTTAATATCGACCGAAATGTTTCTTTCATTTCCTCTTGTTGTGTACTCTGTGCACATCAGTATAAATAGTATTGTTATTTTACATCAAATATTCGCCCTCTTTTCTTTGAAGGAAAGGCGTGTACCAGTGACGCCAGTAACAAGTAGGTAAATTTGATTATAACTGAAATAGGTTTGTGGCGTGTTTTGTGAAACTTTGGGTTTGATATCGTAATTTGATTTCAGATTTGCAGGAAGGCGATGTCTATGCATGGACTGTTGAGGGATCCTAGCCACAGAAAATAAACTGATGTCTTTTTGACAAAAACAATGGTCCAAAATGCTATCTCATCTATATTTTTGTGTGTTTTAATTTGTTTTAATTTCTTTTTTCTGCTTCCCAATCTCTCTCTCTCTCTCTCTCTCTCTCTCTCTCTCTCTCTCTCCATTTTCCTGTTGGCGTTAATAACGACCCACAGGTGCTCTGCAGGTAAATGTATCAATTTTCCAATAAACAAGGCAAGATAGAACCAACCCTTTACTCTATTTTACTATGAAAATACATTTCCCATTTCAAACCACAAATCAATAAAAAGAAAGCAGAAAAAACTACAGTTTAGAAGCAGTTTTCCCAAGTTGAAATAAAGAGTATCTCTGCCTGCTGAGCGTAATTTTACGGCTGGTTTAAGTTAGAGAGGCTGCAGTTATAGACCCTTTTGGGAGTCTCTTCTCTCACGCCTAGCTCTACTTCTGTCTGATATAACGCCTGCGTTCGTGTGTGTGCATGCATGTGCGTGCATTTTGCATGCTTATTTGACTATCCGTGCTCGTGTATGATGTGTCATAAAGAGTGCGTGCAAGAATTTTGTTTTTATATCAGAATATGAGAAGAAAGCACTTCAAGGACTGCAATCCGCATCTGCGGTGGAGTCACAGAGCGGTAGGGGCCACGGACTAATGCTCTTAGCCCACACGCCTCGCTACACTTTACGTTCGGTTGCCATGGCAACAGGCGGATATGCTCGGGGAGAAAATTCCGGCTCCTGGCGGCGTTGACGCGGCCGATGTAAAGCCATGCCTCAGCACATTTCCATAGCGTGTCAAGGCGCAGGCGAAGTCTTTTGAAGCTGACAGTACGCGCTCAAAGGCGGTACGATGACGGGTTCTCGCCTGTCGGGGCGCACTGCGGCGTACACCGTATGTGAGAGCGTTCGCCATAGTCAACTCGCGGAGATAAGTATTCTCTGCGGGCCAGGGGAGCGCTCTAGGATGGCCAACCTATCCAGCTCAATTTTTACGAAATAAAAATGTTTTCTACTTCTGACCCAGCAGTCGATAATTGGAACCTTTAATTCTAAGCGCGGCTTGAGTAGAGAGAGTGGTGTGTTCTCTATACTTTGTGGTGGCACTACCAACAGATAGCGAGGCACATACTGATTTTTCTTTGCGAATAATTTTGCTCGGCGCCTCGCGTGCTGGTTTGTCTCTACCGTGTATTCTGCTGGTTGAGTTGAGAAAAAAACCCGCAGAGAAAAGCGCGCTAGATGATACTAGCTATGAAAAGGCTCTGCCTTGGCATGTTGCTTGCTAATCAAACTGGAGACGTCGAACTGGCAGGAGATTTTCTTTTCTATTTTACAAAAATATAAGCAGGTTTTCTGTACAATGATGGTGGTAGTCAATGAACGAGTGAGAGGCCGAGTGTTACAGAGGACTTTAAAAAGGCTCAAGTATGGATTTAACAAACGCTGGAAACTGTTTGGGATTATAGCGAAAAGTCAACCGTGATTTGGCCCACAATGAAGTACCTTTGAGGTAGGTAAATAGTAAACCTTTCATAGTTTTCCCAGTCGGTATTTTCTCCATACACGTATACGTGTAATATATAGATAGGTATTCCAATCGGAGTGGAAATAACCGTGTTCTCAGCATACAAAAAAGTCAACAACCCCCTACAGTGATTACCCACTGCCTTAGACCGGTTATTTTGTATTAAGAGTTCAACGAGCTAGCCGGTCGATGGATAATATTATAAACTGTAAGTTCTCCACGGAGAGAGAAAAGTAACAGCTAGTCTGCAGGATGACATGGCAACCCCCATATAAACGTGATGCAGAGGTTAGCTGATGGCCTGTTGCCATACATTTGAAATTCCGCCAGCCAAATGGGAACAGCACCACACTGAGCATGCGCCGGGAGGTAGCTTCGTGGGGGGTTAATGACTGGAGAGGGGCAGCCAGAGGGGGGGGGCGCTGGAGAGTATAGTTTTCTTTAGATGTCATTACGAATTATCTATGAATATGTTGATTAGAATAATTATAATATTTTCATTTTAATTGTATTATAATTAGTATTCCCCGAAATAAGTAAATTGTGCGTGGTTGCTACTGTGCAGAACAATATATGTCTCGTATCTTTAATATCACATTAATATCCATATTCATAATACTACATTGATTATATTATGCATAACTTCTAACACCATATTAATCTTCAGTATTGTTTTCATGGACATGATTGTAAATATTAATGTTTTGCATATCTCCATCGTCAATTTTACAAGCTGCCAGCTTGCGGTCGATGTTATTGATCAAGGTAAAAAGTAACAACAACAAATAAATAAATAAATAAATAAATAAATAAATAAAAACAATTGACATTTTAAAGGAACCAGACATACTTATCACAGTAGTAGTAATGACATAATCTCAGGTAAGATGCCTACAGTGTATCAAACTCTCAGAGTAACAACAAGTTAACATTGAGTTCTATCAAATTATAATTTCGTACATAATCAAACATTTCATAAAATGGGTAATTATTTAAATGCGTCATTACAAGGAAGGGACTCTGATGCGGCACCAGACAAGCATGCACGCACTTCGAGAGTTTACATTATCTAGGTATTCAAATACATGTGTTTATCTGTTTATTTATTTATTTTTTTTTTTATCCATCATCAATTGATTTATCGCTGCAATAATTTCGAATCATTCCATCTCCTTCACTTCGTTCTATTTATTAATTATTCATTGGCTGGTTGTTCGAATGACTGGTTTCTCTTAATTCCACTTTATTTATTTATTTATTTATTTATTTATTTATTGCATCAAACACAACTATTCTAACCGGATCGAGGAACTGTTTTGCCAGAATGTTATTTTAGCCCATTTGGCGCCAATCACGCAGGCGTACAGTAACAACAGCCGGGATGTCGGCCACAGACAGTACAGATTACCGGGAGCCGTGTTACACAGAACGTGGGGCGTTCACTAACTTTCGGAGCGGCCCTTCCTCGTGACCTAAAGGGGAGAGGTTACGGAGAATATACCCCTCTGGTAAAGGTCGAGGTCACTGGTTAACTGGGGAAAGGCTGACGTTGTTTTCCTTGACTTGCGTTTGATATTATTACCTTTGAAAACAAATTCCATAAAGACTTAATCGATGGAATGCCCCAAGTGCGTTCGAATTAAAATCTGCATAACTTAATTTAATGACATACATGGCATTTTTTGTTTACTACGATGACTTCGCCAACTGGTTGTGAACTAGGTGAAAGTCAATATGTTTCACACACGAGAGGACAGAACAACATGGGCAATGTCTCTTGGATATATATATATATATATATATATATATATATATATATATATATATATATATATATATTACAAACTTGGATCAACTTGGAAGTTATATCGTTCTTAGAAGCGATGGAACTACTTGTTAAATAGAGTATCAGTTGGCTCTGCGTGTTCTTAGAGTATTAAATGGATGAGATATGAAATTGATCTTCAATTTCGGGTGATAACATAGACATGTTGTTGTTGTGGAATAAAATTTGGGGTTTTCTAAAAGACAACCGATCCCTGCGCCCCCCCCCCCCGCCCCGCCGCCACCCTCTCAGCCCCACTGCTGCCTTCATCACTAATATTTTTTTCTGTGTTTTAATACAACACATCTTTAGTTCCCCAGAAATTACGCCCCTCAACCTGCTGCCGATGTACGTGGTTAACACGGGGGTTCTGCGTTCTCTCTAAGTTCAGAAGTACACACAAAAAACGTGCGCACTTTCCCAGATATCAAATCGAGGTCAAGATGGCAGTTTAGGTCACCAAGCTGACATGATGCCACAGAGAAACCCAGGCCAACTCTCAAATGGTGTTTGTTTGATCAACTATGGGGTTTCTTTTGACTTGATTATTTCTAAATTCCCGCTCACCTGTTTTATTTGTGGCATTTTGATCCGTATTTGCTTTAATTTTGTCTGAGAGATATCCTTTTTGGCGTTTTTCAGGTTTGTTTTGAAGCAAGATGTGTTGTTTTTGTTTGCATTCGGTATGGGAGTTCTGGGGAATTAATACATTTCCATCATTTCGTCACTACGTCTATTTGTGTTATGTAATTACATTTCTACTAGGTTATAAGAAACAAATCTTTTCCAGATTCTGAAGCTAATGATTAAAATGGGAAATGTTTGATGTCAGGTAATGTTAACGGAAGACGCTTTTGAAGGTTGGAAATGTCAAAAGTAAACAAAAGTAAACAAGTCCTTGTCTTCAGAGATGGCGTTGCATGCAGCTGGTTGTATGTTCCTTCAAAATGAACCTTCCACAACATAAAACAATGCCCTCAGATTTTTAAGTAAACTTCATGCTTCATCTCGTTTGGTTCAATCGTATTAATGTAGCAAGTGGGGGAAATGAAACGTTGAGAGGTAAAAGTAAAAATGACCTGCAAGAAGTTTCATGCAATTTTCATTCCACATAAAATTACAAAAATTATTTGATTAAAAACTGGATAGTCTTTCAAGGGAATACATTTTTTTTATTTCAACCTGTGTAAAATGTCCGTCCGTCAACATATTAAACAATTCGTTGTGAGAAAAAAAATATCATCCTAATTTATTTACCTAACGTTCTAAGGAACAGAAAAATCAAACAAACACTACTCTTTTTTTATAACTCAGGTTGAAAATCACTTTCTAAGTCAGAGTAAAATAAAATCTCTTTTGCAGAAATGAAGATTTAAGAACAAAATCTCTAGGCCTTGTGCTTTACTTTTACGTCTGCATAGACGTGAATTGTACTAGTCAATTTTTGGAGTAGTGGTAGTAACTGCTGATGTCTGATAGAATTGGAGATATTGAATAATATTGGCCTAACATGTGTGAGGCGCCCCACTTAGCAAACACACAACTTAAAGGTATCAATGTCTTTAAAACCAGCGTCTGGACGAATTTGTAGGGGGCGCTGCAAGTTGATGTCATGAACAGACACTTGCTGAACGCGGCCTGTCATACACCAGGCTCGACTTATAGATAAACTTCTTATCAACCTCTTAAAAAAACAGCACTTCTTATTTTCTCATGGCCAATTTTTTTCTGTTTTCAGTGTAATGTAAGTTGTTCTTACAGCCTTCAAATGGATATTTAAATGTTCTGTATGCTTACCATCATTTTGATAATTGGCAGTTTATTAGGCTGATAAGGCTTTTTTAAATCTTTTATTCGCTTTTCCCCTTGTTAAAATATATCAAGTCGGAATAACTGACTGGTGTATTTTCTAAAGCATGATATTATTTCGACGTTTTGTAAAAATTAAGATATGGAATATACAGCGTCACAAAAGAGTTTATTTATTGCAAACTGCTCTTAGAAGGTTCTGAATGCTGATAATTGATGATAGGAGACATATGATTATAGATTTTAAGAAACATTTTCATATGATCACTGCGGAAATAATTGAAACGTGTTAGTTAAAACGCATGTTAAAATACGGTTTTCGTTTTGCTAACAAGGTAGATAATTCCATCGTCGTTAAAAAAAATTCCATGTTACAATGATCGTGTGTCTGTTTTGTTTGTAACATATAATGAACACTATAACAGCAGCTTAATACAGTAGGGATTGATACGAAAATCCCTAAAATACTCGTGATAGCCTAGACCTGGCAACCCTGAATACTAAATCTATTTTCGACCAATTAATGAATAAATTTTCACAAGTACACGTGAAAAAGACCCGGTACCATGGATATCTCTTATGTGATCGACTGGTGTGGCCTGGGCGTAGCAGACGACAGTTACAGCAATGGCGGGCGCTTTGGCAAATCTGAGGCAGATACGTTGTCAGTAGTGATTACGTTGATGGGTGTACTCCCTGACCGACACCTCTGCACTCAACAGCATGGGGAAACTTTGGAAAGATTCTGTTATTTATGCTGACTGGCCCGCCATGTTTGTGGAGAACATGAGATAAGATTGAATGATAAATATTTGCTTTAATTAGAACTCAGTGGAGTAAGCCCGAACAAAAGCAAATTAATTAATTTGTCATTACGAATGTTTTTATTTATAGAAATTCAATATCCTACTTGTGTTCTATGAACATAGAGATAATGATTATGAATACAAAACCCAAAAGTTAGCGTAAAGAAAATGTAAAGTTCGTACCATTATATTAAAAACTACTCTAAATGATTATTCTTTGGGAAGAGACTAATAGACAAATAAAATAAAACGATTATGTTCAACAGATAGAAAATATCAAACAAAACTATCAAACATGTGTTTAGGCCTATTCCACTTCTCATTACATTGAATGAGCTAACAACAGATATGATTATACAAGCTGGTTAACTTTGCAGATGTTTTAGCAATGTTTTAGTAAGTGCAGCATGATGTAGATACACTGGCCACAGAGAATAGCCTGCCACCAAAAGAAAGCTGTTGCCTTAGACAAAAAAAAATCATCTACCTTGTGACATCTGCTATGATCGTCTGCAGTGTACCTAATTAACTATTAACTAAATCAG